TCAGTGGTAATAAATTGTTTATTTTTTTTTTTCAAAAGGTTACAATGCGGAACAAACTTTAATACTATACGCGCTGTACTGCCCGAAGACAGAATCCGAACGCGAAACATGCTGCAATGCGGTTATTGAAAATTAGCCGTTTTTTTTTTTAATACAAAAATTAATAAACATAGGTACGTCCTGCTCACGAAAAATAAATCGTGCGACTTATATAATATTAATACTAAATATACTAAATGTAATATGTTATTATATTGTATTGGTGAATTGAACAAAAAAAATAGGAATCAAAAATCGTAAATGTTGTTATTAAACTGCATGCGTCACAATCAATTAATTTATCAGTTTTGCGTACCCACATACAAATATAGTAAACCGGAATCGTAATAATACGAATTATAAAATAAAAACAAGTTACTAATCGTAACGATTTTTAATTGTAATAATAGTGAATAAGTATAATATTATACGAGCGATATTATATGTATATACCTATAATGTATGTATCATAATTATATATGCGTAACGTTTGAGTTGGTATCGTGATACGTGATATCTGCGAAAGAAATCGAATGAAATATTTAGTTGAGCATGAAATACGCTAAAAAAATCAAGGTCGACTAGCACCGAAGTACTATCAAATCGGTGAAAACAAAAAACCAACCGTTGCGGAAAAATTATGATATATATATTATATATATATTTATTACATATTATAATGTGGTACCCGCAGCTATATGGTATTATAATAATATATTATGGCATTTAATAATATTATATTATATCGTTTTACAAAGTTGAATATCGTATCGGAGAAAGAAACGATTTTTTACAAAAAAAATATTTTACATAATTCCCGGCAAACGATATAATATTATAATGAAACTATAAACTTCTCTCAAAAATATTAATATTGGCATTCAGTATAATTAAAATAATATGCATTATACCATTATTATGTAGTTCCCCGAAACAATTGCATCATAATATTATACATTCGGATGTAAAACAATACAATACGTTTTTTTTATCAATTTCAGGAGCTAAGCTATCGTATTTCAAATTTATTTTGGCCTTAAACACAAGTTTAAGATATTAATTTGAGGGTATGTTATGAAATGTCGTAGAATTTTCATAAAACTGTAGAAGCATTTTTAAAGTAGGTAAACTCGAATTAATAGTAAAAAAGGGTATATTATGTGAAATGAAAATCATTGGAGTTTCGTGAAATTAGCTTTATTTCACATTATCTTTAATAATCAAGTAGTAAGATCTTTTAATATGGTCTTTGGAATAAACTATAGTTTATAACAACTAATTATTATTATTTTCTTGGTGATACTATTATTGCGTTAGTTTTGATATTTTAATGTTTAGGATGGATGTAGAGTCATTTAATCACGTCTTCGTGTACAGGTATATAAAACTGAATACTTACTAATCCTGTGAAAAGCGTGTATTACTCTCGGGCACGGAATCTATATAGTATAATTAAATGTAAATGTAAATGATTAAGTATTATAATATATATTATACAAGAACATTCACCAGGTATATTCACCCTATCATCCCCATATTACATTACAATTATGGATCAAGTTATGATTTATAAAAAGGTACCTTTCAGGTATTCAAATGTTTTTGTGTTATTTGAGAAAAATCGTACATCCCAAATGAAATTGTTTTTTAAAAATATTATTGAAATTTGAAAGATAAATTTATGAGTTATTGAATTTCATTTGAACTGAGGGTACCTAATGGTCCACGATAGTGGGTTTTGATGACATATGGTTTAGTATAAATTATTATAAAATGAATGTAATATTTTTTCTGTAGATTACTAATCATACAAGTGAAGAATAATTATTTTAAAAATGCTAATAGATATATTGATAGATAATATTGATCGCTTTGGTGTTGAAATCATCATACAATTGTATATAAAGTTTCAGAACACAGAAACTGCTAGTTATTCAGATACAAAAAAAAAAAAAACTTCCTCTCAAACAATAATTAACTGTCTACAAAAAAAGAAGGTTCTCATTTCAAAAAAAATCTTGGATCACCACATTACGCTGTGTCTTGAATGTCAAACAAAAAACCAAGTTCATGAAAATATTATGGTGTTGGTTATATAATATATAACCTAAAAGACTTAAACTTGACAGTCCCAAAAATCATAACTCGGTGAATCACTCCATACAATACTTCATATATTATACCATATTATTTACGCGTGACGATTCCGTTGAACCGGCTTCGAAGTATTAGACATAATTGTGTATTACAATAATACGCATACATGCGTCGTCGAGCTGTATATCGTAATAAAGTCGTTTTTTTACGAGACGTCTTTGACCGGCGCCAATATAATATGACGGTTTAACGTATATTTAGGTTGATATTTCGGCGGATCAGACAAAATAATATTATACCTGCAGCTGCAATTTAGCACACAGTACTCGCACTGTATTGGTGTAGGTATATATGGCGTTATATATTAAAATAATAATAATATATAATACGCGCCTTGTCGCCTTGAACTTGACGGGACAATATTATACGACGCGCGTCGGCCTCTTCTCTCCGCTTGCGTCGGACCGCTGCGCGAAAGTGCACACAATATCATTTATTATTGAAGTGTTTGTTGAGACAAATTTTAAAAACGCTCTAGTCTGCTCTTAAAATATCTGTCGCGTCCCGTAGAGGCTGCCGACTTGTATTAGTGTACTGTAATATTATTGTCACGTATTTTCGAATAAATTGATATTACTAGCGCCGATTCAAACAAAACAATTCATACGCTTAGCGATCTTCTGCACCTAACCGACCTAGGTGTTGTGAAAAAATGTTGTGTGCACCAAGACGTTTGTAATATGCTCCACGGTGTCGGTCTTTCGTAAGATCTTCTTATCCCTAACGTTTACATTAAATTATATTATATAGGTCACAACTTCGATAATTTACAGAGGAAGATTTTTGCGTATTATCTGATTGATTTATTTTTTAGAATTAAAACGACGACGAAACGAAATCGAATTAGAAGCGAGGAACAAACAAGGTGTTCTATAACTGATTTTTTTTAATATCCAACGATTTGAAAATAATTATATTTTTTTTTCATCGTATATATTTAAACATAACGCGTGTACAACAATAATGACATTAGTCATCATAATTCATAATATCAATTACCTAATCACTTATACTAATTACTCGTCAAACGGATATATTATAGGTACACGAGAACGGAAGTAAAATTGTCATATAAAAACGGAAAACAAGTTAAACGAAAATACCTATACAACCAATGATATTATATATGATTGTATGAGCAGCACAGTAGTTGGATTCATGTGACATATATTGTGATTGACGTGTTGTAACTTGTAGCACGAAAAAAAAATTATTTTTATTATTGACGGACGGACCCCTCGAGAACGGTAATAATAATAATATAATTTATTTCTGGATTATTTTATGATTTTTATAACATGCATTTAATTGTTATGAATTATGATACACCACTACCACCATTGCGTTTGTATTTAATTTATCTACAATATGCTCAATAATTGAAAAATAAATAAACGTTATTGGGTACAATTAAATTTAATATTTAATATCGTAGCGGCGGAAAGCAACACTCCATTGAATAGTCGTAATGAGAGTACTAATAGTGCTATTGACGAAACATTTTATTGAAATACGACAAGACGATAATCGATAGACCGCATAAAATCAATTTTATGAATCGTATAGACTATAGAGTTATAATATAATACTATTATATTCTCATATTATTATTATTATTATTGATTCAATATCTGTTATATTTGTCCATTGCATCGTTATGAATTATTTTATTCCTTATACGTTCAATATGTACGTTGTCTTTTTAAACAGGTGAAAACTTAATATAGAAACAATTTAATTTTATAGATATACCTATAGGTATATAATATTCAATAAGTAAATACTGATGCAATACAAACGGAAAAAATGGGTAAAACAGTTAATATGAAAAACTGTATGTACGCAAATGTCAACAAACGCAAATTATACGGAATTAAAAGCGTTTATTAGAACTTTTGGACTAATAATTTTTTAATACATTTTTAAGATTATGTTTAATTTTAGATATTCAGGTTTATAGGCACCCGACTGCAGGTACCTATATTTAGTATCGCAATCGTATATTATATTTTCGCATTGTTTGCGGAATATTTTAACAGTTGATAAAACGAATTTCGTTACACTGCACACACGAAATAACCAAAAATATTCATTTATATTATATTGCTTTAATATTTTATAGGTATGCAGTAATAATGGTTTGTTCGGAGACGTGTAAATTCATATTGTGATTATTATGTATATTAAACATGTGTGCAGTGTGTGCAATTATACCACAATATCGACGGTACCTTTTAATAATATTATGAGTAACTATGTATTCAGAGTAAGAAAAAAAACATTCAAAACTGGAACGTATAATATTTTAATGATTTAACGTGTACCGTGAGCTCAGTACTGCGATGTGGTATGATAATAATAATAATAATAATAATAATTGTGTGCCCTCTTAGCTACTTACTGCTCGACCTGCCGCGGAGTTGCTCAATAATGAAACGGTTTCGGCCTTAAGATAACGAGATCATGTAATGTTGAATATTTTAGTTTTCGATCGAACGGTGAAAAACGGTTCGAACCGAGTGGAACACTCGATGCACAATATTACCATCATAATATTATATACTATAATATATTCTCGCGTGCCGAAACGAGTGTCGTGCGGATACAAAATATAGGCTCTTCGGAGGTGAAGAGTTTTTTTTTTACGGTAAAGAAACGCGATTAATAGGTGGTCGAGGAAACCCGCGGCTCGACACACATTCATATACTACTTTACACCCGACTCCGGGGGCATGTGATAAGGGTGATTTTTGACGGGTAAAAAGTGATGAAATAAAATTCGACAACAAAATGCGACGGCTTACCTCGAGCGGGGCCCTTCGTCCTGCGCCGTGCTTTGGGCGGCAGTGACACTCCGAAGACTTCTTCAGGGCGTCATCGCCGTCTGCGGTGCCTCTTGTGGACGACGACGGATTCGCACTGCGCGGGTACCGACAATTATTCGGTGACAATATTATTATTTTATTGGAAGAGGAAAGTCCAGCTGCGATGTCGACGGATTTTTTTTTGTTCTCTACGACGGCGGTGGATGCGCGTATCGATCGCGGACGAGAGATATCGATGTGCTCGGCGGCGGCGGCGGTGCGTTGTCGGGACGCGGATTGTAGGTCAAGCGGAGGATACGCACGCGGACGGCGACAAGCGGTACGGACGACGCGCGCAGCACGACAGACGTGCTCGTACAACAGGACGCGACGAGCGTACTCATATACGCGGTCGACTGCGACGGCGGAACACGCGAGCGGACACGCTTACACACAGACACAAACACACACACACGGGCGCGCGCCAACACTTCAGTAGGTACTCGCGGAGAGAGAATACCTCTGTACACGCGACACGAGCGCAGTACGACGACGGCGACGATTATAACAATAACTTGTATGATTTTAATTTCGTCCGTCTATAATGCCTGTGTGTGTGTGTCGTACGGTTTATACAATAATGTATTATTGTATCGCGATGCGACGATGTCGAAACGACAATATGAGGCGAACGCGTGGACGGCGACCGACTGTCTGAACGACTGATCGACTGAATGACTGCAGACCGACTCGCTCCTGTCCGGTCCGTTAGCGGTCGTGGAGGTGGTGGTGGTGGTGGTGGTGGTGATGGTGGTGAGAGACGACCGTCGCGAAGTCATACCCCTTTTTTCCTCTTTCTTTCCGTTTCGTTTTTTTTCGCGCGCGAATATCCGTCGTCCGTCGTCGCCACCGCTCCCCCTCGACGTCCCCCCCAGGTCGGCCACGGCCGCACGACCTCACGTGCCGCTGGCGTTCGAGCGTTCTGACCGTCGCGACCGCGGGGAGGAGAAGTCGGTCGGACCCGGCGGAGCTGTGCGACTTAATTATAATTTCGCTAAGATATATTATGTTTGTGTTATAGCACTACCATGGTATTACCATATATTAAATTAATGGCGTTGGATTTTTTTTTTTAAGTCCGTTCGCTTAAACATCCGTTTTTAAATAATTCACTATGAAGTGACGCACATTATACACGAATCTGAAGTAGGCATAATTGGGGCTCAAGTCGAAAAACCACTAGAGGGTAATTCGCACATCCGACGACCAATGACGGGGTGACATCCCCAGCGTTGAATTCGATGGTTTTACGAGGGCCGTTACTACAAGTTTCAATCGTTACCGTTCTCTGCAAAAGGCTTTTCCGAGGCCATCTCATTGCGTCTCTTTAATTTTTTGCTGCAGGTGTTTGAAAACGATTGCAATTGGTGGAGAGTGCAGCAGTGCATTCTCAATTCTCATTTGGCGATTAGTGGATTCGAGGAAAGAAAAAAATAATAATTCGAGAGGTCGTAGCAATAGAATACGTAGAATAGTACATCAACATTTTTTTATCGGCCCATCCATCACTATTTCTTGGTCGAACTTCAGATCTGATCGAACTGGAGCAGACCCAGCTATGATTACACAATGACCGATCCACATCATTTGATATTCTAATCCATTTAGATGTATATAGCTATACTTGCTAAAGGTGGGCATTAACTGTTAAACACTATTTTACTACCTAAATAGTTTGTTAATTATTTAATTAAATTTTAACTTAACCTGACTTGACTTTGAAAAATTAAATGATCTATTGATTTAAAAATAATTCATCAAGTTTTTATTAAGCATATATTTGAAATTTTCGTTTTAATACAGTTCTATACATATTAATTACTGTATCTATTATAGGTACATTGTTTTAAATAAAAATAATCTCATTCTATAGTTAGGTAAAGATAGTAATAACTAATATTAATTCTATAATTTCTGTTATAATGTTTCTTGATAAAATAACATTATATAAATCTATGGACATGCACAATATACTACTCTTTAGTCTTTATGTATGTGACCCACATACTAATAAAAAAAAATTAGATATGAACTTTTTCTTTAAATGAGATAAGTCAATATTTTTGTGAATATTCACTTAAAATTGGGCGAGCTGTATATTATAATGTATCGTTTGTTATCAGCTATTAACTTCACTTTTCTCGAGGTAGTTTTCATTAACTCTCCCTCATTCGCCTACTACAGGTACCTCTACCAGTTTCGCATCCAATCCGAATCGTATTATAAGATTTGTGGTCATCGCAGTAATATATGTCCGGCGAACTAGAAGTTTCGAAATTTTCCGTCCAACTATAGGTACGTATAGTCGTCGAAAATATGTGATTCGCCGCTGTGCACGTCATGCACTCAGACGCGCATAACTTAAATAACGATTACGATTTACGGTATAGTGCTCGCCGTTTCTTTATTATACCTTCAATGCGCCTATATACACGTACATCCGACTCGTCTTACAATATTATATATACATTAAATAATAGATGTTATTAATTGTACTATAGTTCCGCCGAGAGACCGGTTCGTATTAATCGTATAATAAACAGGCAACGACGTTAATAATATACATAGTATATATTATATTATATACCTGTACATCGTATAAACCTATATAAGACTGTCAAGTTGCACGCTATTATTACAGTTATATACAATATTGAAATGATGATTGTACATTAATTGTACAGTAAAATTATATAAATATACAGGTGTAGTCTATTGGTATGAAATAATGGCAGCCGCGTCGTCTTCCGGGGTGTACACTGTACATAATATAGAACCCGCGCCTATATTATAATAAACTTGCAAGAAAATGTAAATGTTTACCGAAACTGTGCAATATGCACTTAAAACAAATGTTTAAAAAGTATAATCACTATATATTATCCGTCGAATATCGTCGTCGTCGTCGTCATATCGAGTTTAAATTTAAAAAAACTAAAGAGTTGCAAGGACATAACTCTCCCCACGGACTACTGCACCAATAATTTTGTACAATTTTTTATATAATTATTTGTGAATTCGAGAAATAATTGATTCGTTAACTTCTTGTTAAAGTATATAATATAATATAATTATATAACAATAAACGCATTGAACGAAATTCCATATGTGTAGTAAGTACCTAAACCTTTATTTAGGTATTCCGTTTCGAGTTTGAAAGTTTCTCACAAATACATATAATATTAAAAATAACACATTATTTTTTCCTCTGATTTCTATAACCATCCGAGTGTTTGCGCATTTTATAACGCCGATGGAGCATGGATGCATATTGTTAACACTGTAGCAGAACAATATAACAATGTTCTCTAAACTTATCATATCGCCGTTTACCGTCTAGCCGGGTATATACAATACTACAATAGACAATAAATATTTTATTAAAATATCGCACTGCACATTGCAGGATGGCATACTCAAAACGGGTACATCGATATCACCGATGATAATATATTATTATGCGCAAAATATTATAATATGTAGCTGAGGTCCAGATAACAATATAATATAATATAATATAGGGGAATTCATGTATAAACTTCCCAATTCCTGCTCAGTATTCATAGCTGAGTCAATTGCCATATTAAAAGCGCTCGAAATAATATCCAATAATCGCATACAAGACACTATTATCTTCACCGACTCCCTCAGTTCGATCTAGAATATAAAAAACACATATAATCCTTCAGACATTGCCCTACATATTCAAAATAAAATTTACCCCTTACAATACCATAATAACTTCAAAATCAAACTCTTTTGGGTCCCTGGACATTCGAACATAAAAGAAAACGAACTCGCTGACCAAAAATTCTATCACATCTTCACTATCATCACCCACACAAATCATTTCCTCCGGTGACATACGAATGCTCATAACAAAGAAATGTCAACAAAGATGGCATCAAAGGTTATAAATCTAATTATACGAAATTAAACCATATAAAACATAACACCGATAATTGGACATTTCCCTTAGAAATTCACAGAAAATTCGAAGTTATAATAACCAGACTAAGAATTGGACACTCAAAAATATCCCACAGTTTCCTAATGTCCAAAGAAGAACCACCAATGTTCACAACATGCGGAGTTCAAGTCACCATCGAACACATACTAACCGAATGCAGAGCCTACGACAGTACCCGAACAAGCCACAACCTACCCGAATCATTATCAGAAACTCTATGCTATCACCTCCAATCCATTATCAACATCATGCAATTCATCATAGCCGTCAACCTTATTTCCAAAATTTAATATATATGTATATACAATTTATGTAATTTCCGTAATTTATAATTTTTGCACTGTAAGCCCAATGGCCCATGCTGCCGAGGGTATTATTAATTTAAAAAAATATATATAATATAGGCCATAGGGTATCTCATGGATGCCGAGACCTGCAGTGCGGGTACCATTTGTCATGCTAGCTGTAGTCGCTCGTCGTGGTCGACTGTCGATGTGTGTAATTATTATCAATTATATAAACTTGTACCGAAATTCGTATGATAATATTGATATCACAGTTTTGCTTTTTAAATGCAATGTTAATTGTTATCATGTTTTTATTTTGTTTTTAAACCCGCGTAGGTATGTAAAGTAAATAGAGGGACTTGAGCGAGCGGAGATAAAGTGAACGATTTACGTATCATATGATATGAATAAATATTATAATATTATTATTATATACATCACGCGACGGATGCTTGCAGCATCTCGAACGCTGATGGTTTTTTGCATTCCTATAAAGTGCAAACCACAATAATAATATTTTGTACACATTTTTCAAACGTTTTCTTTGTATGAGCGTCATCAAATTAAACATTTAAATGATTTCTGAAAGCTATCAACATTTATACATGTAAAATACTTCTCAATACTAATACTCTAATAGTACTTTAATCTCAGTTTTTTCATGTACCCGTAATTTATTGGTGAATTGTAGATATAGTTAGAGAATACTATTAAGTGAATACCTAAGTTGTGATATATCTAATATACGACTTAAAACGACTTGTATTTTTTTAATCTACTCGCGATTACCGTAGAACAATTATTTTATGTTTGTTTTTTTTTTAAGCGATTGCGTTTCAAAAACGCGTTTATTGCAGACCAATGGTAATCGAACAATTGGGTCCCCATGCACTTTTTTTCAATGTTCAAGAACTGATAACCATTAATTATATTTCTAATGATCAAATCATGCATGTTAAAAAAACCAACCATTAACCACCACCTCCGCCCCACCTCCTACCACGACATGCCAAAATCATTTGAGCTGTAACAAACATATTTTATCAACAAATTATCGCAATGGTGTTTACGACTTTGGAAGGCATTATTGTTTGAATATGATAAATATTATAATGCAACTTAAATCGTTCATCAAAATGTTAGCATTTAATGGTTTTAATTTTAATCATAACAATATATTTAGTATATTTAGTATAATATTATACATAAATAATTAATCTTTGTTGATAACTCTTTATGAGTACAATAAAAGTTTTCATTTCTTTTATTAATTGCATCCACAGCTGCGGACAAAGGAGATAACAACTTTATTTAAAACTTAAACTATAAGGAGATGTATAAGTCACATCAGTAATTTATATTTTGATAAGAGTTTATATTATTCTAATCGTAATGTAATTCATAATAATGTAACGATAAC